TAAAAATAGGGTGAAGTCTGATTTCTTCCTCCTTAAAAACGTTTTTAGAGCTACTAGAAAACTTGCATTTGTAAAATAGTTGATAAGAAATATCCCTCTGGATTGTACAAGAAAGGGGATCCAAGGACCACTGATAAGATGTGGTAGACAGTCACACTTGGCTTCTTTCCCTCCTGGCAATCAGAGGCTGGACTCTCCTTGTTTTCAGTTTCTCCATTTTCTGCAGGTAAATTTTTACCTGTGGTTAGCCACTTCATCCTGTTTTCCCTTTGCTCCCCTTTTCCCTTTTGTTTGCATTTTTTATCTGAAGATTAACCTTTCCTGCTATCTTTCTTGCCTCTGACTCCACTTTTGCAGGAATATGTTTAGCTGACTACCTTGGCGATCTTTTGGGCTCCTCTTTCACCACCCCTTCTGCTGAGCAGACCTTCCTCTTTGTCATCTTGGCAGTAGGAAGGATGCGCACTGGATTCCTGTGGGCTGCAGTGCACCTAGACCTTTCGCTGTCTGGCCGCTGCCTCTCCGCCTGCCAGAATTGATTTTTTAAATGACTTGACCTTTTATTATTAATGTCATACACAATGACTATCATTTCTTTTCCTGAGATATCTAATGCAGTTAAGAAGGAAGAGCTAGTGATAATCAAGTACCTATTTTGGCTAGCCTTCACTCATCATTTTTTAATACAGTGACATTTTTTTAGGAATAATTCATTACTGCTTTGAAGAGTCAAGCAGTGCAAAGTATTGAGAAAGTAGAAATGTCACACAAAATTCCACCACCAGTAATGGTCTTTGTTTCTCAGTGCATATATAAAATGAATAAACGAATAAACAATACTTTTTTAGGAATGCTAAGATAGTAAATCTGTATTTTTAAACAAAACATTAATTTTTCTTGAATTTAGCAAAAGAAAAATAAGGTAAAACTAATGGAATTGTTGAATGTTAAGTGTTTCTTCAACAGGAGAGTTTCCTAAAAAGATTGATCTAAAGGTGATTTTGTAGCGGTGGTTCTCCAGTAGGCACAGTTTTGCACCCCAGCGGACATTTTATAACATATGAAGACATTTTCAGTGGAGACTGCTGGTGGTGGGGAATGATACTAGCATCTAATGGGTGGAGGCCAGAGGTACTGCTAAACATCTACAATGCACAAGACAGCCCACCAATTTAAAACAAACAAACAAAAATTAGCCCAAAATGTTAATGATGCCAAGGTTGAGAAATCCTGCTCTAAGTTGAAAAAGATTCTGTAACACATTGAAATCAGTAAGTTTTAAGGACATTTTAATTTTAGATTGCCTACAATGAAAGGTGAAAAATTAGCATTCTCCCATCCTTTTACATCCCACTTTTTTTGTTAATTGTATAATTTTTATTTTTTAAAATCCAAAATTATATGTACATAGTTCTTGGTAGCTTATTATGAAAAATAGTATACCACTTCATTTCCACTCTTTGGAGTCACTTTTTTTTTTTTTTAATAAATTTTTATTGTGATTTAGGTGAAAGTTTACAGAGCAAATTGGTTTTCCATTCAACCGATTCAGATACATTTTGATTGATGATATTGACTGCAATCCCCACAATGTAACAGCTCTCTTCTCACCTCTTTCCTGTGTTTATTTTACCATTTCCATTATTTTTTCCTATCCCTTTCTGCTTTCTGACCTTTACCCCTGGCAAATGCCATCCTTTTGATCTCCAATGATTGGTGGTTGTAAGGAGTGTGTAGTCTGGTGGTGGTATTGTTCACCCTATTGTCCTCTTTGTCGGCTGAAAGTTGGGGCAGGGAGAGTTCGGTTCCAGGCTTGAAGGGTGTCTAACAGCCATAGTTTCCAGGGTTCCATCAGTTTCTGTCAGACTAGTAAACTTGATTTTTTTTTTCTCTTTTTGAATATTAAAACCAAACCAAACTCATTGCTGTGGAGTCAGATCCAAACCATAGCGACCCTTCCCTTGAGTTTCCAAGGCAGTATCACTATGGAAGTTGATTGCCCAGTCTTCCTTCTAAGGTGTGGCTGGAGGGTTTGAGCCACCAGCCTTATGGTTAGCAGTCAAATGCCTTAGGCACTATGCTATTTTTCTCCTAGTCTATCCAGGATCTTCTCTTGTGCTTTCTTTCTTAATGGTCGGCAGTTGTAATTGGGCACTATCTAGTTCTTCTGGTCTCAGGGTCTTGGAGGCTGAGAGTAGTCCTTCAGAGTAATTGTTTCCATATATATATAAAAGCTTTTCTTCACTTTTCTTTGCTCCAGACAGAGACCAGTTGCACTGGAGTCAGTGTTTCTTTGGTCCTTGTTTGTTTATTTCCATATTTTCGAACATGCTTGCACTTTATTATTATAATTATTGATTAATTTGTTTTAGACATTATCTTACTATGGAAGATGGAGATTTCGCTTTTAGCTGTCCCTCATTCTACCACCCCCACCACAGTTACACACTGGTGATGTCCTCTCTTGTTTCCATAATATTTGTAATTTTGGCGAAGTCAACATTGTGACTATTTAAATGAGTTAATATATATAAAAGCTGTAATAAGGACTTCATATTTGTTAAATATTATTTTTATTATAATATAATGTTACTCATGGGAGTTCTGGTGGTGTAGTGTTCAAACCCACCAGCCACTCTTCTGAAGGAAGTTTGGGCAGTCTACTTCTGTAATGATACCGTAGCCTTGGAAACTCGAGGGGTCGCTATGAGTCGGATCCTACTCAACAGCAGTGAGTTTGGTTTTTTGGAATGGTATTCATAGTTCAGCAATGTAATAAATATAGTGATTTTTCAAGTACCATTTTTGTGTTCATTGAAGTATTGGTTTGTTTTCTGTAAATTTAACAAATTGAACCCCAAACTTTCCCCAGCTGACTATATTTCTCAGTAAATTCACATGTATATGGTGATTGATCTAACCTTGGAGATATCGTTCCCAAAGCCTAATTAACCTAATTAACCTAGTTGGCTCAGTGAAAGCAAGAACTGGTGATCTCCTTTGTGAAAATTACAGCCTGGAGAACCCTATGGGTCAGTTCTAGTCTATCACCTGGGGTCCCTATGAATTGAAATGGACTCAGTGACACCTAACAAAAACAGCATTAGTAGTTTCACTATTACCACTACCCTCATGGCAGAAGAGGGAAAAGGTAAGGATAACAATGCACTTCTTTATCTCCTTGGGAGTATTTAATTATTCTTAGAATTTTGTGGACTTGCCAGTATGATTTCTGGGAGATAAGAGTGGGGGCTGGAGGTTGGCTTAGCAGTTTGCTACTCGTGAAAATTTTTCTCTCTCCTTAGCTTAACTTTGGTTGCTGCTAATGAGAAAAAAAATAGTAAAAAACTTACTTTTAACTAATTTTACTCATTTTTGTTTATAAGGAGGACAAGGGGTTGTTTGACTTTCACTTCAGTCCTTTTTTTCTTTTTGAACAGGTAGAGTTGAATTATCATTGTATCTTTTTAAACTATACTGACTTTTAATAATATTGTTTTCCCAGATACCATGTCTGTGTGGCAGTGCCCCATGTTTGCTGTGCCGATGCTGTCCTAGTGGAAACAACTCCACTGTAACTAGATTGATCTATGCACTTTTCTTGCTGGTTGGAGTATGTGTGGCTTGTGTAATGTTGATACCAGGAATGGAAGAACAACTGAATAAGGTTAGTCTTTTTTCTTACTTAATAGATTGCCTGAAGCTATAGTGTGTATATGCATAAAATTGTTGTATATTAAAAATAGAATACATACAAAGTGAAAGCATATGTAATCTCAATTTTGGTAGCTCATAATCTTGTAGGAAAAACTAACAAAAACAGTAGAAGGCAATGTGTTAAATTATGTGATTGTCGTACAGAAAATGTACTGTCATGGTATATGAGGAAATAAACATTTCTAAGTTATTTAACCAAGTGGTGCAGTGGTTAATTGGCTACCAACCAGACGGTTGCCAGTTTGAATCCACTAGCCACTTGGCAGGAAAAAGGTGAGGCAGTCTGCTTCCATAAAGATTGACAGTCTTGGAAACTCTGTGGGATAGTTCTATACTGTCCTGTACAGTTGCTGTGAGTTGGAATTGACTCGATGGCAGTGGGTTTTTTGGTTTGGGTTAACCAGGTAAATGTCAGTGTCTCAGTGGGTTCATGGAAAAAGGGATGTATAAGAATAAGTAAAGCTTTTATATGTAGAGATGGAAAAATAGGGATAGAGCTAGAAAGTAAAGAGAAGGATCAGATTGTGGCAGGTCTTAAATGTGTTGCTGTAGAATTACCCTTTCTTTAAATAATGAGGAGCTGTTAGAACTTTTTGAGTAGAATATCTATGCTTTTGGAAGAGTAATTTGTTAATTAACTAATTTGTAATTTACTAAAAGTAAAGTACATAAATATGGAGGCTTTTGCAATGGATATACGAAGAGTTCTAAAACCAAAAAGCCAAACCTGTTGCTATTGAGTCAATTCTGACTCATACCAGCCCTATAGGACAGAATAGAACTTAACCATAGATTTCTAAGGCTATAAATCTTTATTGAAACAGACTGCCGTATCTTTCTCCCACAGAGTAGCTGGTGGGTTTGAACTTCTGACCTTTTGGTTAACAGCTGAATGCTTTAACTAGTGTGCCACCAGAACAGCTTACCAATTTCAAGTCCACTGTACCAAAAGGAGCCCTGGTGGTGTAGTGCCTAAGGCATTTGACTGCTAACCAGAAGGCTGGTGGTTCAGATCTACCAGCCACTCCTCGGAAGGAAGGTTGGGCAATCTACTTCCATAGTGATACTGCCTCAGAAGCCCAGGGAGGGGTCGCTATGAGTCGGATCTGACTCGATGGCAGTGAGTTTCGAGTTTGGTATACTAAAAGGTATAGAGGCCTTGGAATAGATTTAACGGATGTAGAATTGAAATCTTTGCGATAATGAAGTCATAATCAGGTTTTGATTCTAGACAACTCGGAGGAAATTGTTGCTGTTAACCCAAAAAGGAAAATAAGAAATTGTCTGTTGGTTTGATTTTATTGTTTTAATTCCGCCTCCCTCGGGAGTGGGAAGAGTGGAAGGAGATGGTAAAAATGGAATATGTTTGGTTTGTAACATGTTGACTTAGAGGGTACTGCATTACGTGTGTACATGCCAAGCAGGAAGCAGAAAATGTGGATGTGTAACTCAAAAGAGAAATCAGAGATAGAGACTATCAAGGAGATTATACACATAAAGATGAAAGTTGACGTGGTAGCAATTAGAGTAAGCAGAGCTAAAACGTTGATAAAAGCTCTCACTTAAGGGGTGGAGAAAGGGGTACCTCCAAAATAGTAATGAGAAAAGAAAGAACAAAAAGAATGTTTTGCAGTGTAGGTTTTTTTAAGTGTGACAGGACAATGTTTATAAAAAAGAGATCTAGGAACGTGAGGGTTAAGAAGTAATGGATTTGGCAGCTAGTACATGACTGTTGTTATAGGTATCATCAAGTCTATTTTTGACTCAAAAGTGACCACATGCAACAGGGTAGAACTGCCCCATAGCATTTTTTAGGCTATATATAATCTTCACAGGAGCAGATCTCTTGGTCTTTCTCCATGGAACTGCCATGGAGAAAGTGGTTTGTTGTTGTTGTTTGCCGTCGAGTCGGCCCCGACTCATAGCGACCCCTCCTTGGGTTTCCGAGGCAGTATCACGGAAGTAGGATTGCCCAACCTTCCTTCCGAGGGAGAAAGTGGTTAGAACTGCCAAACTTCCATTTAGCAGCTGAGTACTTGATGAAAGTACTTGATGAGTACTTAATCATTGCATCACCAGGGCTCCTTAGTATATCACTAAACCAAAACTGCTGTTGGGTCGATTCTTAATCACAGTGACCCTGTAGGACAGAGTAGATCTGACCCATAGGGTTTCCAAGGCTGTAAATCTTTATGAAAGCAGACTGCCACATCTTTTTGCCACAGAGCAGCTGGTGGATTTGAAATGCCAGTCTTTCATTTGACAGCTAAGTACTATAGCCACTGTGCCATCAGGGCTGCCTTGTGTACTGTATTGAAAAAGGGATTATTTTAGAATTCTGGTGCTGGAAAACGTGAGAGGGGGAATCAGCCATGACAAATTGTATCCAATGGGTATGAACTGTAAATTTGAGGAAGTTTGTAGTGAGATGATAGCTTTAAAGGGAAGCTGGGTTGAGGAGAAGGAATTTTCAGGGTAGGGAAGAATAATCTTTTAATACAGAAATCTGCATTTTGACGGTAGTAAATTGAAAATAGGAGATCTGATATATATGAGAAGGTAATCAAGAGGAGTATAGAAGATAGTCTTCCCAAAGAAAACCTGAATGATAAACACAGGGAATATGATGTTGAGGAAGAGTATATATGTCAGATGACCTCAACCTAACTTAAAATAGAAAGCACAATCTGCTTATTCTTGGCTTTGTGATAAGTTATAAAAGTTTGAGAACTGATTACTGTGGTTGTGAAAGTAGTTAACATGGTAAATGGCATATGTTGGTGCTCAGTGAATGTTCTTTACGTCCTAGATTTAAGCAAAAGGCATGACAAGGGTTGTTCAGTTGACCATGTTTATGAAAGATAGAGTTGGTAGATGTTAGTTCTTACCAGCAGATATGTATCTCTTCTTTCTGAGGTCATCAAAGAATTGCTGGTGATGTGTACAGCCATGTCACTAGTTCTGTTCAGTCACTTGTGAGTGGAAGTGATACATTTCTTTCTATCACAACCTACCCATCATTTGAGATGGTAGCTTTTCCAGTGACTAGTCAGGACCAATGATACACATGAAATATGAGCAAAAAAAAAAAAAAAATACACCTTTACTGAAATTTAGGGGTTGTTCATTAACTGTACCAGTTTAATCTGGCTGATATAGACGGTTGGGTTATTTTAGTATTGGGAATTGGCAAAATAGTGTGCTGCCCACATAAAAGGAAACAGAACAATTAAGGATGTTGGTAAGTACGCGATACAGGTGAGTATGGCTAAGTACACACTGACATGAGCTTTAAACTGGGTGAAGAAGGTAGAATTCAAGTGAGATCAAGAAAAAGTTAATAGACTTTGCAGAAAGTAGCAAAAGGAAGGTAACACATTAGCCTAAATAAAATTTAAATTCTTGGTTTTAAAAAAGTTCTATTTTAGAATATTGATGTGCTTTAACATTGCTTAGAAGAAATAATATAATATGTATGAGAATAATATATGTTATTCTGACCAATACTCCCACTTCTTTCACTTAAAAATAGGTTTTGCATTGATTCCAATGTGACTTTCTGAAATGGTCATCAGTCTTTTTTAAGATTCTAAGCTATTATGGTTCTGTTTAATACTTAGGGACAGACTTACTCTGTTTCTTTAAACTTTTTTTTTTTCCTTCATTTTTTTCTTAATACATGAAGTTCAGTGTATCACAGTAGAATGTAAGTTTTTAAAATTTATTCTTACTAAACTTATTCTAAGTTCACAAGTCAAAATAGGCATCTGGTTTAGGAATGTCACTAGTAGTTTATCATTTGCTCACATGGAAGTTTCTCTTTTTTCACTTTAGTTGATTAAAATTTACCAGACTTAATCTTGATTGCATATTTATTGTAAAGCAAAAAAAAAAAAAAAACAAAAACCCACAGTTTTATAAACCTTTGCTAAAGAGATTTGATTGTGTAGAATTTTTATTTTTATTTACTGAAAAAATTACGGATCACAAACTCTTATTTTTCTAGATCCCTGGATTTTGTGAGAACGAGAAAGGTGTTGTTCCTTGTAGTATTCTGGTTGGCTATAAAGCTGTATACCGTTTGTGTTTTGGCTTGGCTATGTTCCATCTTCTCCTTTCTTTACTTATGATCAAAGTGAAGAGCAGCAGTGATCCTAGAGCTGCAGTGCATAATGGGTAAGCTTTGAAGTCTGAGTAGCCTCTTCTCAGTAATTTAAAGTCTATCTACAGAAACTTACAGTAAATTTGCATAATTTGCAGGATTATTTTGTCCATTCATGAATGACAAGAAAATCCTCTTTTTTTCTACTAGAGAATGTCAGACTTTGGAAATACAGATATTAATTAATAGCTCTGATTCATTTACTGACATACTATCTGATTCATCATGTTTTATATTTTTATCCTAAAAAGAGCTGTCATATTTGTGACTATTAATGGGGAGCTATTCCTCCTCCTTTTCATCTAAACTTTTGGTAGACCAGTCCCACTACATAGGACTGAGTTCGGTTCCCTAGACCAGTACAACAAAGTGAAACACTTATTTCTAACCTGAGAGATGGATTTTCTAAATCGTTGGTTGTACTAGACAACCTAGAAAGAAACTTGAGGGTCCCATTAATTTTCCTTGATAAAAGTACCGCCTCTGGTACTGGTGACTTGAATGTTACCTAATTTTACTCCCCTCACCTTTTCCACAAATGAAGAGAAAATATTCTTTAGGTATTTGTTACTACTTCTCTGAGTGAAATATAAATATTAATAAAAATGTCATTGGAGCAGGTTATTTTATTTTGTCCTTTTAGTCATTGATTGTTTTTAAATTTTTATCAGACTTTTCTTTTTTTAAAAGAAATATTTTCGTATTTATCTGTATGGTGCACCTTATGCTTTGACATATTAACCCCATTTATTATGTAAAATAAACCTGTGAAATGGAGGGTTTTGGTTTTTATTTTAACATAATGAATCAGTGACAAATAGTTTTCTAAAAGTGTCTTCAAAGCAGTTGACATAAGTCTTCCCATTTTCACAACAGAATTAGCACAAAGTGTAGTTATTATTTAATATGCTCCTAAAAGATTTCATATGTGAAATTGTTCAGTAATACTTACTAATTAAAAAATTGTTTGTTTTTGTTTTAGATTCTGGTTCTTTAAATTTGCTGCAGCAATAGCAATTATTATTGGGGCATTTTTTATTCCAGAAGGAACTTTCACAACTGGTAAGAATATTTTTTCTTAATTATGTGATACTGATTTTTATGAAGAAACTGAAATAATGACTACAACAATACTTGCTTTTTATTTCCTAGTTTGCAAAATTAAGGTTTTCATATAAAATTTCATTTTCCCTTTTTTATGCTGTGATTGTGAAAAGGAAATAAAACTGAACCAGCCATTTGTATGTGTATTTTTTTCCTTGCAGTGTGGTTTTATGTAGGCATGGCAGGTGCCTTTTGCTTCATCCTCATACAGCTAGTCTTACTCATTGATTTTGCCCATTCATGGAATGAATCCTGGGTTGAAAAAATGGAAGAAGGGAACTCAAGATGTTGGTATGCAGGTAAGCTTTTATCTCACAGATCATCTTCAAGATGGTAGAACTTGGAAAGTGGGAGCAGATGACTATAGGAAAATCACTTAAGATATTTATGATCTAATTTCCTTTGAACAGATTTTTAGTATAAAAGTTTGTGACATCATATCACATTGTGTCAACAACTTGTTGCAAGATCTTTTGGCAAACCTTTTGAGAACATATACAAGTATCAGAAAATACCAAAATAACTTGAATAGCGAAAATAAATGTTCCAAAACCTATTGTTTTGGGAAACCAACTGAAAGCATGTGCATTTTGTATTTTTTCATTGCCCATTAATTTTTATTTTAGATAAATTTTTTACAGTCTAAGTACCTAATCTATAACAGGGTAAAAGTAAAACACTAAGGGTAAGAGCACTGTTAGAAATAGATAAACAAATAGTGATGTAGTTTATAAACAGCAAACAAAAACTATAAAAAGCAATTCTGAGACAGAATAAAATATGTTGTATATGTTGAGATTTATGTAGAAGAAAGTTAGGTTGTAATGATGAGTTAACTTTTGCTTAATTTTCTTTTTATAAAGATTTTTGTTGATGAGGCAAAGCATCGTTGTTTTGTGAGTTTAACATTTACCAGTGAAAATCATTATTTTATGTTTCCTAATGCTCTTGTTTAGTCATTATTGTTCTTTATAAAAACCTTAAATAATACTCCTCTTCAGGTTGTTTCTTTTTCTTTATTTTTAAATAATGGTTAATGTATTTGAAAATGGTTTATAAGCTATACTATGGATTTTTCTAATAGGAATAATCTTACTTGTATGTTACGAATTTACTGTCCTTGATATAGTACATTATATTAGGGAGCCATGTGTAAAAGCTATGAGATTTCTTAAGTGACTTAAAGTTTGGGATTATTTTTCTTCCCTGCTGTTACAGCTCACACAGTGCTGGCGACGCTAGTTCCTTAAGCGTATTTTTAAATTAAATGACCAATTGTTTTATTTGTGACAAAATCTAACTTCCAATTATATTTTTTTCACAGCTTTATTATCAGCTACGGCTCTGAATTACCTGCTGTCTTTAGTTGCTATAGTCCTGTTCTTTGTCTACTACACTCATCCAGATGGCTGTTCAGAGAATAAGGCGTTCATCAGTGTAAACATGCTGCTCTGCATTGGGGCTTCTGTAATGTCTATCCTGCCCAAAATCCAGGTATGCTTTTTACAGAAGAATTGTTTTTGAAGCCTCTTTTTAAATTTTCATAAGTCTTGTATGATGCTAGAATATTTATCTAAGTTGTTTAATTTTTTTCTGTAGGAATCACAACCAAGATCTGGTTTGTTACAGTCTTCAGTAATTACAGTCTACACAATGTATTTGACCTGGTCTGCTATGACCAACGAACCAGGTATGTTTTCTTTATTTCTTTTTCATTGACACCTGCAGTTTTCCTTTTTGTCCAAAGATGATTGTTTTGTGAATAAGATGTTTAAAAATAATGCTCTTAAGGGAATAAAGCATATGGAAATAATACCATTTTCATCTTTGATGTATTGCTACAGTTCATTTAGTGGTTTCCTTTGATAACTAAAAATTATAAGAACAAAATTACAAAAGACTTATCTGTTTTGCACAGTGCATATAATATGCAGAAATAAAAACTCCTTAAATATTTACTGATCCAAACATAAGTAGTACTTATTTAGGCTTATTGCGTTGCATTCTATGGGAGAGGAATGGAATATGTCATTTGAGGGCAGATACGAATTAATGAGAAATGAATTGCTGTTTTTAGAGAAGAAAAAAATGGCCTGAAAAAACCATTACATTGATCTGAATTGCATATCATCGAGTTTATAAACTGCACTAGTTGGAGAAAGATTTTTTTTTTTTTTTTAAGTATATTAGAGAACATTTCCTTAGTACTCTTTCCAGCCAAGTGGTTAGAAAAAGTTACTTGTAATTTTCTTTAGAGAATAGCCTTATCTAATTGGTTTTAAGATAAGAATCACTTTCATTAATAAGATGATGATGTTGTTGTGTTTGCAGTT